GGGGATTCCCCTTCTAAACACTAAGACTCTCTCTCTCCTCCTCCCATCCCATCAATCATCACCAGATCTTCAATGAAGGTAAGTGTCATGTAATTGTGCATGCCTTTTTCAGTTTGTGTGTATTAAAATTAATATTCCATGTGGTAAAAATGTTTTTTTTTCATACTTTGGGGTGTCTTGCATGGATTAATTTGATTTCCATTATTTCTTATGGGGAAAATTCATTTGCATAACGATAATTTCGCATAACAATGAGCTCTCTTGCACGGATTAATATCGCTATGCGGGGGTCCACTGTATTTCCTATGGGAAATATTGCTTTGCTTTACAAACTTTTCAAATTTAGAACTAGCTCCTGGAACGGATTAAGTTTGAAATTTGAGGTTCCAATGCATATATTTGTTTCAACGCTTAGGTTAGAACCTATGAACTCCGAGAAGGGAGGCGTGAATGTGTATGTGTACCCGACAATATTGCTGGCACTAGAATTAAGCAAGTTTTCCATAAGTATTAAAAGAATGTGTGTAACTTTTATGTATCTGAAAGAGAGATTCAGTGTGTAATTTTATATCTTCAAGAACCAAGAACCTTGTCATTAACGAGTCTGATTCTTTTCAAAGGTAGACTGTCATTCAAGCAGTATACAGTGGACCCCAGCCTTACGATGGCATCGCGTTACGTTAAATCCACCATATGATACATTTGAACGCAAAAATTTTGCCTTGCCTCACGCGATTCGTCTGGGACGCGTCCCATGTGTGGCCTCAGCGCCAGTGTTTACAAGCCAACCAGTGCGGTCGCATCCACGCATACATTCGGTGCATTTCACCTTATCCCAGTGTTTTTTGTGCTTGTAACTGCAAAGTAAGTCACCATGGGCCCCAAGAAAGCTTCTAGTGCCAACCCTGTGGTAAAAAGGGTGAGAATTAGTATGGAAATTAAGAAAGATTTTGAAGGGTTTTGGGGCTAACTCTGAGAAGCCTATGCCAGTTGTGGAATCCATTGCGCCTACTTCAAGATTAAGGAAATGTGTGCAAAGTGGGTTGAACTGCAAACCTTTATGGATGAAAAGCACCCTAACACAGCTATTGCAAGCCGTGCTGTTGACTATTACAATGACAATGTTGTGGCCCATTTTAGGCAAGTCTTAAAGGAACGGGAGGTACAGAGCTCTATGGACAGATTTGTTGTGCAACAGAGGTCCAGTGACTCTCAAGTTGGTCCTAGTGGCATTAAAAGAAGGGAAGTAACCCCGGAAAAGGACTTGCTACCTCAGGTCCTAATGGAAGGGGATTCCCCTTCTAAACAATAACTTCCACACTCTCCCCTCCTCCCATCCCATCAATCATCAGATCTTCAATAAATGTAAGTGTCCTGTATTCTATTCTTAGTAGAGTAGTAATTGTGCATGTCTTCTTCAGTTTGTGTGTATTAAAATCAATATTTCATGTGGTAAAAAAAAAAACTTTTTTCATACTTTGGGGTGTCTTCCACGGATTAATTTGATTTCCATTATTTCTTATGGGGAAAATTAATTTGCCTTATGATAATTTCGGCTTACGATGAGCTCTCAGGAACGGATTAATATTGTAAGGCGGGGGTCCACTGTATATCAAACAGGAGGAAATGCTTTGGTATCGAGCATTGTGTGTTGTAAGATTATGAAACCATGTAACATGGTATTGTGTACACAAAAAGCAAAACACTTAAAGATATCAGGAAGTTATTGGGAATCTCAGATGATGTGGCAAGAACACTAAATGGGCATACATTATACATGGATAACTGGTAAACAAGCCCCTCAGTTAATGATTTCTTGTGAAATAGAGATGATTTTGATTAGTTTCAGGAATGAAAATGGCTTGAAACTGACCTCGAAGTAACGGAAATATTCAATTTTTGCTGATATTCCAGAGTAAACAAATCACGTAATTCGTCCAATACACATCCACTGGTCAGTCTAATATGCATTCATAAATGCACTTACATTATTTATACAATTATTACAATAATGTATAGCAGTAATTTTTTTTTTGTGTAAATAAAGATTCAAAATGGAATTCATGTGTAAAGCCAGGGAACGTAACATAAACTGAGGAAATGTTATTTTAGTGCCAGGAATGCCTGCATTGTTTATTCTGAACCCCATTTTGAAATGTGTGTGAAACTGGCCAAATTACCATTTTCTGATCACTTTACTGGGTAGCTGAAATAGTTGATTGGGCAGTTTCTTGTGCTCACTAGTGAAATAGCCATGAATTTGGTTGACTGGAACAATTATAACTGGCCTAAATAGGACTCAAAGCGGCCAAAATCACCGAAGCGAATATTGCTGACAGCCAAATTTGTGATAACTTAATTTTGTCAATTTTCCATCAAATTTCGTACTTTTTGTTTTCTTACATTCAGAAAAAGATTCTCTACCATTTCATAAGAAAAATATTTTTTTTTTTTTTAAATTCTATGACCCTGTGGACAAGTTTCAGATTGGGAGTCTAGACCCTGAAAGGGTTAAAACTCATCAGAGTTGTGAAACTTTAGTGACAAATGAGTCTTATTTCTAATGTTACAAGGGGTAAATGCTAGGTAAGTGTACACACAGTACATGACACACTACCATGGTGGAAAAAAGCCATATCCCCATTCATGCCCTCACTTGGCAGCAAAGGAATAAATCAAATTGATCCCTAAGTCACACAAATGTTTGAGATGGATGGGGAAGGGGGTACTAGAACCTGTAGAATATTCTTACATATGAAGAGTCATAAATTCCCCATCACTCTCTCTCTCTCTCTGTCGTCACACACACGCATGCACATACATACACATACAAAAGGGGGTCTATATAGAAGAGCTTCATAAGAGAGCTGACCGATGCAAAATTCAAATTCTCAGTTGCTCTGTGGATGACAGTTTGTTTGGGTTATTCTGAAGTGAAGCAGCAAAGGCTGATGAACACATTTGGTGGGATGTATAAAAAGGAATTAAAAGCGAACATTATAAGTGAGCAAGGTGACAAGTAACAAAACATTTAGGCCATGAAAAATTGGAACAAAGCAGTATGTAGGAAATGAATGTTTTTAGATGTAGGTAGAAAAATCTATCAAAAACTAAAGTGAACTATTTGGATGTGAGGCATGGGCATAGGAAAGGATGGAATAGGATAACCAAGGAAAAGAAGGGTATGGGTCATCCCAAGAAGGGTTAGAGGGTTTCCAGTAAGTGATAGGGGCTTCAGCATCCAGCAGGCTTGTGCCAGTGTTAGAGCAGGGTGATTGGAGACAGTGATTTTAGGGATTCAATGTGTTTCTGGAGTGTGAACCAAGTATTATTTACAAAAGGACTCAGAGAAATTGGTTAGCTAAACTTGTGTTCTGGAAGTGGGACATACAGTGCTTACACCCTTGAGAAAGGTGAGGATTTTACAGTCTGGAGCATCACTTAAATTATGAAGTCCACAAATTTGTTAGGACAACGAATAAATGATTGTGAATGTTTTATGGAGGGTGGAGTCACCCTACCTTGGTAGAAGACAGCTGATGACTTTTTTTTTTAAGACTACTACTGTCTGCAGCAGAGTTGATAAGATTATCATCTAGCTGTTACTGTATGTCTACTTAAACAGTCTATGGATAACTTGACAAATTTAAAACCTACTGACTGAGTCTCCTTGAAGAACTTATATAAATTGAAACTTGCAACCATTCTAAAATTAGCAATGTAAAATTTGAAGAGACAAAAATAAAAGAGCCATTAAAAAAGTTGTGAATGGCTGAGACCACATGGTGAATCTCATATATTGCCATCAAAAACATCAATTCAAATAACCTGATTTAAAACATTCTAATTGGGAGAGAGAGATGGGAAGGAATAACAACTTTAGTTTTTGCAGCTGATTTACAGAACTTAATGAGGCCATAAAGTTAATGGTCGTGATAAATGGTTTAAAAAACCAACACATTGAAGATTGAGAGACTTATGCAACATATGGGAATCTTTATTGAGGAAACATTTTGCCACACAGTGGCTTCATAAGTCCAATACAAAGCAGAAAGGTGTAAGGAGAGGAGGAGTTTGAGGTAATCAGTCCCTCAGCCTGGAGTCGATGTGTTCAGTCCATCAGTCTTGTAGAATGTACAGCATAGGGCTGTAGACGTGGCTTATATACTTGTAGTCAGTCAAGGCGAAGCAGAGGTGGCGGCGTCATAGTGGAACCATCCACTAGTCTAAACAGGCCCTTGCCCAAAGGTTGGACAAGTTGAAGAATTCTTTGTATCAAGATCCCATGATGCTGCAGTGTCTGACAGATGTGATAGTTAAAAAAAAAAAATATTCATCACATCTGTCAGACACTGCAGCATCATGGGATCTTGATACAAAGAATTCTTCAACTTGTCCAACCTTTGGATGAAGACCTACTTAGACTAGCGGATAGTTCCACTATGACCCCACCTCCTGCTTCACCTTACCTGACTACAATATATAAGCCACGTCTATGGCCCTATGCTGTACATTCTACAAGACTGAGACTGAACACATCAACTCCAGGCTGAGGGACTGATTACCTCAAACTACTCCTCTCCTTACACCTTTCTGCTTTGTATTGGACTGATGAAGCCACTGTGTGGCAAAAAGTTTCCTCAATGAAGATGCCCATGTGTTGCGTAACTGTCTCAATCTTCAAGTTAATGGTTAACAATGTGCGAGTGTGGCAGGAATACATAGCATAGAAATGTTTCAGCAGAAGCACTCAAGTTTACAACAATATAGGGTAAAATTATATTTTCAAATAAATTTTACTTCTTAATGTTGTCCTGGCTGGGACAAGTAGACCCAATGAATGCATGTTCAACATACATCTCTAAATCACTTTCAAGGGAAAGGTGGAGGTAACTAGGAGTAAAACACAATTGTCACCTATACACATGGCACTCTCACTGTATAACCCACCCCAACCTAACAATTTCCTTGGTGAATGCAAGAACTGCAAATGCACCGACCTGAAAACAGCTGGTTGTAAGCATTGTAGAGAGTCAGTTGCTCCCAAAGAAAAGTGCCAAGTCTGTGGGGAGACAGAAACTGAAGTCAGCCATGCTGAACACCTTGGGTGACTTGACAAGAACATAAACAAATCCTACCCATATACCTAGTGATACCTCCCTTGAAAACTTTACAAACAATTTGGAGGAGGACTTTAGAGTTTGTCTTATTTCTGTGCAAAACAAACAGGATCTCATGAAAAAAAATGTACTCATTACTGTAAAATAACAAAACGTATAAAGGAGGGCCTCGCTTTACAGTGGTTCGCCAACACAGCAGTTTTCAATTATATGCATTCGTCATTTATTCAGACTACTTACAATATAGTCACTACTCATTATAAGCTAAGTACGAAAATATTTTAAGGTATGTGTACTGTATATGCATTTTTTAGGCCTAGTTCTATTGCTCACTTAATATAGGATAGTGTAAACATGTTATCAGGCTTATATATGCATTTGAAAGCGAAAAAAAGGGCTATGATTTACATTACAGCGGTAGCCCGGAACCTAACCTGTTGCATAAGCGGGGTTTGCCTGTATATTCCAGTATGTATATGCCAGGTTACTATCAAATAATTTAACTGGATAAATTGTCCCAAATAATATAGGTAACACTGCAGTATAATTTCCTTAGCGGCTCACACATTAAGAGTCAACAGACTTCTTTCCATTCAACACTGTTAATGGTAAGATGACACTGGAAGTGAGCAACAGTTGCTAGCCAGATATATATATACACATGTTGCAAAATAATCAAATCATGGCCCAGAGAGGACTGTCCTAGTAAGCAAAATCATACCCACCTGGTTTCCTTTTCAGTAGGAGAGAGAGACATTCCTAGACATGCTTCACCCCCTCAGTAAAAAAATAACCAAGGGGGGTTCTGTTGTTCCTTATAACTCTGCAGAAGTGAGGCTCCATGGGAACCTTTTTGGGAGGCCCATCTCCCCCTGGGGGGTTCACACACACACACACACACACACACACACACACACACACACACACACACACACACAAAAAAAAAAATGGTCCTATCTTCCTTGGTCAATATACATAATAAAAACATTTTAAGGATAAGTGGTCTGAGTAAGAAATGAATACTATTTCTACCAATTTCTGGTGTAGTCTGGCCATTTTAAACTTTACCACTTTTCCCCCACTTTTGGAGATTTAATAACTGACTGTTCATTTGACTGCTTGTGAATAAATACTATATAAAAATATCAAAAGTTTTTATTCATCCTTTGGAAATAAGCCCCCAATGGAGCTTCAATATTATTTGCCTTTGAAGAAGGATGGGAAACACTTCTAGTTAAATGTTATACAACGTTTATTGTATCCATGTCTTTTTATTTTATTGTTGCCCTTTACTTTTTCAAGTGACTTTCCCAGGTCCTGATGCTCCATCTGCCGAGGAAATTACAAACAAACAGAAGTGGAGGTGCCCAGCTCTCAGCAAGAATAAGGGAAACAAACGGCAAGCATAGCTTCATCTGTTGATGCCCACCAGACATTCCAAGCTGCTGGTGGCAACAAGTTGCCAGTTTAACTTCAAGACACTTTGCCTGCTGACAAACTATTAGAAAAGCAAAGCAAATTGCATAAAAATTGCAGTCAAAAGTTCCAGGAGGACAGGCTGGTGAAAGCAACCACATCTCAAGCATCCCAAATTGAAGATCAACTGCTCCAGTGATCAGGCAGTGGCCCACAATACTGCTGTCTGTTCTGAGAACAAATGGCTGACACTAAACAAACCCATCACTAGTTCCAGAAAGCTGTCCATACTAATAAAGTTGGAAACAGAGCGAAGCTCCTACAATATGTGAAAGCTCTGAGTAAACTCCCTGTATGAACTATCATGATAGAAAACCTCTAATGAAAATCAGCTGACTTTCACCACTGCTCAACTTGTTTTTCATTACACAAAGAAGATAATCAAGGCACAAGATTATACACTAGCCAATGCACAGTGAAACATACAGTACATAGATTTGTATACAATAGTGTACCTTTTGAGTTTGTATTCATGTACAGTTAATGACGCAGCACAATTCGCGACAACGTAATTTCGTCAATTTTCCAACAAATTTCATACTTTTTGTTTTATTACCTTCAGAAAAAAATATAAAAAGGGCCAGGGATATGACTAACAGAGTAAATGTTTTAGTGACTGGAATGTCTACATTGCTTATTAATTTGGAGTGGTTGGTGTTATTACTTAATACATGTATGGAAGAGGGTAAGGTACCTAGGGATTGGCAGTGTGTGTACATAGTACCTTTGTATAAAGGCAAAGGGGACAAAAGAGAGTAAAAATTATAGGGGAATAAGTCTGTTGGGTATACCTAGTAAAGTGCATGGTAGAGTTATTACTGAAAAAATTAAGAGTAAGATGGAGAGTAGGATAGTAGATGAACAAGGCGGCTTTAGGAAAGGTAAGGAGTGTGCAGATCAAGTGTTTACAGTGAAACATATAGGCGAACAGTATTTACACAAGGGTAAAGAGGCTTTGTGGCATTTATGGATTTGGAAAAGGCATATGACAGGGTGGATAGGGGGGTAATGTGACAGATGTTGCAGGTGTATGGAATAGAAGGTAGGTTACTGAAAGCAGTGAAGTTTTTTCTTGAGGATAGTGAGGCTCAAGTTAGAGTATGTAGGGAAGTGGGAGATTATTTCCCAGTAAAAATAGACCTTAGACAAGGATGTGTGATGTCACTGTGGTTGTTCAATATATTTATAGATGAGGTTGTAAGAGAATTGAATGCACGGGTGCTGGCAAGAGGTGTGGGGGTTAAAAGATAAAGAATCCAAAACAAAGTGGGAGTTGTCACATTACTCTTTGCTGATGACACTGTGCTTTTGGGAGATTCTGAAGAGAAGTTGCAGAGGTTGGTGGCTGAGTTTGGTAGGGTATGTAAAAGAAGAAAATTAAAAGTGAATATGGGAAAGAGTAAGGTGATGAGGATAACAAAAAGATTGGGTGATGAAAGATTGGATATCAGTTTGGAGGCAGAGAGTATGGAGGTGAAAATGTACTCAGACATTTTGGAGTGGATGTATCAGCAGATGGGTCTATGAAGGATGAGGTGAATCATAGAACTGATGAGGGGAAAAGGGTGAGTGGTGCACTTAGGAGTCTGTGGAGACAAAGAACTTTGTCTATGGAGGCAAAAAGGGGAATGTATGAGAGTATAGTTATACCAACACTTTTATATGGGTGTGAAGCATGGGTGGTGAATGTTGCAACAAGAAGGCTGGAGGCAGTGGAAATGTCATGTCTGAAGACAATGTGTGGTGTGAATATAATGCAGAGAATTCGTAGTTTGGAAATTAGGAGGTGTGAAATTACCAAAACTATTATCCAGAGGGCTGAATAGGGGGTTGTTGGGGTAGTTCGGACATGAAGAGAGGGCGGAACAAAATAGAATGACTTCGAGTATATAAATCTGTAGTGGGGGGAAGGCCTAGAAAAGGTTGGAGGGAGGGGGTAAAGGAGGTTTTGTGTGCAAGGGGCTTGGACTTCCAGCAAGCATGCATGAGTGTATTTGATAGGAGTGAATGGAGACAAATGGTTTTTAGGACTTGATGTGCTGTTGGATTGTGAGCAAGGTAACATTTATGAAGGGATTCACGGAGACCAGCAGGCCGGATTTGAGTCCTGGAGATGGGAAGTACAGTGTCTGCATTCTGAAGGAGGGGTGTTTATGTTGCAGTTTTATACTGTAATGTAAGCACACCTCTCGCAAGAGTGATGGAGTGAATAATGATGAAAGCTTTTCTTTTCTGAGCTACCCTGCCTTGGTGGGAAATGGCTGTGTTAATGAATAATAAAAATAATTTTTAAATTGGCATTTTTAAAAATTTTGTGTGAAATTGGCCAAATCACCAAATTCTGATCACTTATAGGGTAGCTGAAATATAGCCTTTTATTACTTTCAAATGCATATAAAAGCCCAATTACATGTTTACACTATTATATATTAAGTAGGCAATAGCGCTAAGCCTAAAGAAATGCATATACAGTACACACAATTACTTACCTTAAAATAATTTTGTTCTTAGCTTATAGTGAGTGGTGAATACAGTATATTAATTGTAGGAAGTGTAAATAAATGAAGAATGGGTATAACTGAAAACAATTGTATTAGTGAAGCACTAGAGAGTGGGGCCATTGAATGGGCCATTTCTTGTTCTCAATCCATAGAAGAGAAGGCACATTAGTGAAATAGCTAAAAATTTGATTGACTGGAACAATGGAATTGGCCTAAAATATAATTCAAAGTGGGCAAAATTGCAGGTGCATAAATTGTGCCAGCATAATTCCCTAAGTTTTCCATCGAATTTTGTACTTTTGGTGACAGTACCTTCAGAAAAAGATTCTCTATCATTTCAGAAGATTTTTTTTTTAAATTTTGGACACTGACAGCAAGTTTCATTTCATGGGTCTGGCAAGTGAAATGGTTAAGGATGAATATCCCCTACAGTGGAAAAAAAAAAAAAAAAAAAAACTGGCAATTCTCATGCAATTTTCCACATCTTACCTGTATACGTTGGTTTTTTTTTGTGTTCACAAACATAAAAACTAACAAGTGGGGCAGGTTACAATTGGTCATCGAATAAATGAAGGAGCATCTGTCCAATATTCCACTTAACATCAAAAGTGTCTGCCAATCGCACCAAGCCCCCCCCCCCAAAAAAAAAACACTTCAGAAGACAAGTTAGTTTGTTTGTTTTGTATATTTTATTGTAATCTATAGTGCTTATGTATTACACTAACAGGCTTGTATATTTTATATTTCAGGTGTGTGTTTTATGCACTTGTATGTTTTTATTATTAAGACTAAGTACTCTTGGAAAGAAGTTCTAACAGAAAACTGACTAGGGGTGCCATGGAATATATGACTTGAGGGTGCCATCACTGAAAAATGGTTGAGAATCACTGCCATAACCCCATTTTCCTCCACCCTTTGAATAAAATTTTTAGTAACTCTACATCTTCTCCTAATCTCCTTGCTAC